GAGAATATTCACGTTCAGTCCCATATCCATTATATAACTACAGTTGGAATATGTTTTGGTAAATACCTGAAAAAAACTAAAATGTTGTCTAAATATATATGAACCTAACTGTATATATGTCAGTTCTAGGCATTCATGTTCTTGCTGTGGAGTGGGGAGAGAGTTAATTTAAAATATTTCACTGGAGTTCTCCAAACTGGTAATCTCATTTTACTGACCTCTATATTAACTGTACAAATACGGTAGGTGCAATATAGACTGTATCCTACCAAGTGAATGTGGAGAACAGAGAAGTTTAATCATTGGGAGAGCTGTCATCTAGGAAAGCCTTGCACTCTTAGACTGTACAGTTGGGTATGATGGGTATTACTAGAACTGTATGGCCAGGGTATGAGAGTTACTCTTAGCAGGTACAGAGCATGTGAAGACAATGAGAGCAGGTGACACCGAAAGCAATAAAAAACTAGACAGGTATTCTAATATAAAACTAAAAACATAGTTGCTGTGGAAGAGAGAACTGGCTAAAACAGATTAATTGTCAGGAATCAAGGAATGACCAGAAAGGTGTGGACTGACACAGGGAAACGCAGGTTTCAGGTATAGTATAATACAGGTTATTATTAGCCACCCAGATATATATATATATATATATATATAAACGCACAGTGAGCAAACTAACCTTCCACTAATCTTAGGAGGTGCAGGAACACAGGCGTAGTCAGGGCTGGAGAGGTGGAATGGTCAGGCCGGCCGTAGGGTTCTGTAACGACTGCCTGGTGGTACCTCTAGCGGTCCTCAGGGCAGGATTCCCCAGGGCGCGGAATCTAAGTCCCAGTCTGCTATTCACCAGGGCCCCTGATGGTGGGGATGGACTTGGAGCAGACAGGAACCAGGTCGCGGCCCCTGAGTACACCTGCTAGTGATAGAGGGATCCGCCAGAGGTATGTGCAGGTACGGCTGGATCCGTGCAGGATGGATGGATGGCAGAGTAGTGAGCGTGGTCAGACGGGCCAAGTCAGCAACGTGCGGGCAGCAAGGTATCAAAGGAGCAGGCAGAGAATGGTCAAGGTCACAAGCCGGGTTCAGTAACTCACGGACAGCGCAGTACAGAGGATCAGGCAGAAGGATGGTCAGGGATGAGCCAGTAGTCAGAACAGGAGACGGTCAACAGGAATCAGGATCAGGCAGGGTCGGCAACAAGGTATCTTCTCACAGGAACTAGGAACAGGATACAGGGGCTCATGGGAAAACATACACCAAGGCCCAGAGCACAGGCCTGGTCATGCCTTATATACACCTTTCTGTTATCAGCCCCAGGTTTGGCTGATTGTGAGCCTCTGGCTGCAAAGAGCACCCGCTGGTCAGCTCCGGCACTGCAGCCCACACGGCAGGAGAGTCCCACCACCAGTGCTGGGAGCACCCGCTGGTCAGCTCTGGTACTGCAGCCCACACGGCAGGAGAGTCCCACCACCAGTGCTGAGAGCACCCGCTGGTCAGCTCTAGTACTGCAGCCCACACGGCAGGAGAGTCCCACCACCAGTGCTGAATCCATTCCTGACATTAAATGATACAAAGTTGCTGATTCCCAAAATTTTATAGCTGGCTCCTACATTTTTGAAAGATTTGTCCAGTCCACACTACCTACTGAATAGGTGTTCTTGAACAAGCATGCAAGAGTTCAAAGGCTGCATACTTGTGCCTGATCAGTAATTCATTAAGAAGGGAAGCATCCTGTTTTTTTTTTTTTGTTTTTTTTTTTTTAATCAAGTCTATAAAAGGTAGTCACCATTTTTCTAATCTTACAGATTCACTTAAAAACGGAAATTCACCCAAAAGGGGACGTTCCGCTTGTTTGCCTCCTCCCCCCTCAAATGCCACATTTGGCACTTTTTAGGGGGAGCATGTGCCTGGTTTTGACAGGTACCCGATCCCACTTCCAGTTGGATACACGGCGATCTCAGCTGGAAGTTCACCACCCCCTTCCCCAGCAGCTTCTGAGATACTTCACAGGAAACGTTTGGTTGAGGTTATTGCTGCCCCGCAGTCTTCTGTGGACATTCACAAAACGCAGCTCACTTCGCACAAACGCAGTAGGAAGCCGGCTGTGAAGCCGCAAGGCTTCATTTCCAGTTTCCCCTACTGAAGACGTCAGCTCCTGCACCCAAAGCTGATTGAAAAATCGTCTCGAGCGAGGACATTGCGGGATCCCGGGACAGGTAAGTGTGCTTATATTAAAAGTTAACAGCTACAGAAAAAAAAGAATGTGAACCCCTTGGGATTACGTGGAGTTTTGCATGAATTGGGCATAAAATGTGCTCTGAACGTCATCTAAGTCACAACAATAGAAGAACACAGTCTGCTGAACATAATACTACACAAACATTAGATGTTGATATGGTTTAATTGCACATAACATGTAAACATTCACAGTGCAGGGAGGAAAAAGTATGTGAACCTTTGGACTTAATGACTGGTTGACCCTCCTTTGGCAGCAATAACCTCAACCAAACGTTTCCTGTAGTTTCAGATCAGACCTGCACAACGATCTGGAGTAATTGTGGACCACTCCTCTTCACAAAACTGTTTCAGTGTAGCAATATTCTTGGATGTCTGGTGTGAATCACTCTCTTAAGGTCATGCCACAGCATTTCAATCGGGTTGAGGTCAGGACTCTGACTGGGCCACTCCAGAAGGTGTATTCTGTGCTGTTGCCATTGTTTTGTTGAATTACTTGTATGCTTTGGGTCATTGTCCTGTTGCATCACCCATCCTCTGCGGAGCTCCAGTTGGCGGACAGATGGTCGTACGTTTTCCTGCAAAATGTCTTGATAAACTCTGGAATTCATTTTCCCATCAATGACAACAATCCGTCCAGGCCCTGAGGCAGCAAAGCAGCCCCAAACCATGATGCTCCCCTCCGCCATGTTTTACAGTGGGGATGAGTTTTTGATGTTGGTGTGATGTGCCTTTTTTTCTCCACACAGTGTTGTGTGTTCTTCCCAAACAACTCAATCTTGGTTTCATCTATCCACGGTATATTTTGCCAGCAGTGCTGTGGAACATCCAGGTGTTCATTTGCAAACTTCAAACGTGCTGCAATATTCTTTTTTGGACAGCAATGGCTTCCTCCGTGGTGTCCTCCCATGTACTCCATTCTTGTTTAATGTTTTCCTTATTGTAGATGTGTCAACAAAAATGTTAGCATGTGCCAGAGATTTCTGTAGGTCTTTAGCTGACACTCTGGGATTCTTCTTTACCTCATGCAGCATTCTGCGCTGTGCTCTTGCAGTCATTTTTACAGGACGACCACACCTAGGGAGAGTAGCAACAGTGCTAAACTTTCTCCATTTGTAGAAAATCTGTCTTACCGTGGACACATGAACTTCAAGGCTTTTGGAGATACTTTTGTAACCCTTTCCAGCTTCATGCAAGTCAACAATTCTTGATCGTAGGTCTTCTGAGAGCTCTTTTCTGCGAGGCATGGTTCACATCAGACAGTGCTTCTTGAAACCAGTAAACCCAAAACAGGTGTGTGTTTTTTAAGGGCAGGACAGCTGTCAGCAACACATCCAATATCATCACACTGATTGGAGTCAAGGTTGGCTCACTCCTGGCTCCAATTAGCTCTGGGAGAAGTCATTAAGCTAGGGCCTCACATACTTTTTCCTCCCTACACTGTGAATGTTTACATGTTATATGCAATTAAACCATGGCAACATCTAATGTTTGTGTTGTATTATGTTCAGCAGACTGTGTTCTTCTATTGTTGTGACTTAGGAGACGTTCAGAGTACATTTTATGTCCAATTCATGCAAACCTCCATGTAATCCCAAGGGGTTCACATACTTTTTCTTGCAACTGTACAGTACTTGTAGCTGCTGACTTTTAATATTTTGGGGGGAGCCTGGAGCTCTGCTTTAAAGGAAGAATATTACCAAAGAATAATAAAAAAAAAAAAAAAAAAAGTGTATGGATTACTTTCATCAGCCACTTCCAACACCTGCCCATGAGCGCCACTATCAGGCATAGAAGTTGAATTACTGCATTATAGTCAAATGAAAAAACGTAGCTATGCATTCAAGCTTTTGGTAAATCCTCCTCCGCTGCTATGACTATTAAAGATAGAAACAGCTGCTAACATCCAATCCTCACCTTAAGACGGACAAATAAATAGTCAGCAGAAGTCTGGCTATTGGTGTACAAGATCCCAACACATCACGAGTTTACAAGGGTATATACAGTGTCATCTGTCTATGAAAAAAACAACTGAAGGTGGAGTAAAGGCATATTGAGGCGTGTGGAGCTATCTGTATCCTGGAAAGGAGCGTGTAGGATCCTGGGTGATCCATAAGGCGTTGTGGCCCCTGTGGGTCACAGGGGGAAGGTGAGCGGGCATGCCTGCCATTTAGGATTATCTCTTACCACCTGCACCAACACAAGAGCATGTTTTGAAGAATTGTGTGTGCTATTGTTATATGTGGAATCACCGGTTGCTGTGGACATTTGCATTAATATCACCTATAGATGGTGACCTATATCCCTGTATAGGGAGTCACTGTGTGCCACTTGGATTTTTGTATTAGCACTTGTAATTTGATATGTATTGCACGGATATACCTACAAATGTCACCTGAATAGATCTGAGTATTATTTTGTATATCTTGTACAAAAGGTAATAGTTCATCTATAGCGCTACATCACTATTATACCAATTTATGCATTCAAGCGCTTATAATAGCAAAAAAAGTGGTTTTATGTGGTGATATTAAAATGAAAAAAGAAAATCAATAAACAAACATGAAATGGTTACAAAAAGTAACTTTTAATTAAGTCTTCATTTTAATTTCTAAATATAAAAAAAAATAAGTCAGTGTAACCTCATTTCTTTCAGATAAGAATTCATTCTTAAAGTAAGCATAATGTTTTTGGTCACAATTTAAAAGTATATGGCATTACAGTTTTGAGAAAGCTGGAACGTGTCATTAGGCTTCTTCCTACATATGCAAGTGTACAATCCAAACGCACACATTCCTGCGTTAAGAATGACTGTGTGTATAAGTGGGTGCTGCAGCGACCGTAGGCTGGAACCGAACAGAATCAGCAAGGGAGAATGTCACCAGCACCCCGAGGATCACCAATATGGGTCCAAAGCTTTTAATGAACGATCACATAGTTACAGCAAGGCAACGTTTCGAAGTCTCGCAGGACCCCGATGAAGGGGTCCTGCGAGACTCCGAAACGTTGCCTTGCTGTAACTATGTTATCCTGAGAAATGCTGAGAGACACTGACAGGAAGAATCAATGAACCACCTAGAGTGCTCACCAGTTCCCTGGTAGTTCATGGAGAACTACATGCTGGCAGCCGTAAAGGCTGACAGTACTTGTAGTTTTCCCATTCACAGCCACAGGGGGAGGGGTGGTTGGAAAATTCAGGGCTAAAGAGCTACAGGAGTGGGAATATGTTACATGTTCCACCCTAAAAATGGGTGTGAAATGTAACATGTTCCCGAATGTGAGGTTTGCCTTTAAACACCACTTTATGTTTCTTAAATAGACACGTGCTTGTATCATCATGTAAATAATTGTGCCCATTGTGTGAATGATTCTATGGCTTCTAAGCATAGTATAAAATGATGTAATTACATGGGAGCTGCCATATTAGTTGATTACATACCCAGGATTGTCAGTCCCCGCAGTGAGACAGGGAGACCAATAAGTCTAATGAAAAATAGATTACCGTATTTTCCGGCGTATAAGACGACTTTTTACCCCATGAAAATCTTCTGAAAAGTCAGGGGTCGTCTTATACGCCGGTATACGGCGAGCCGGTGTCAGGGCGGCACTTTTTTTCGGCGGGCGGGCGGCGCGTGCCGCCCCCCCCCCTTCCAACAGAAGAGACACTAAGTACAGGGGCGGGCAGGGGGCTGCTGTTTCTTACCTGGCTCCGGTCCCGGTAACGATCTGGGCCAGGAAGCGCAGCTGCTCCTTCATTCTGTTCGGCTGCTGAATGTCCGCGTGTCCGCTCGGCTCCACCTCCTCACCGGTGATTGGGCACCAGAACTGTAGCTCAGGAAAGGCACACAGGCGGCCAATCACCGGCGAGGAGGCGGAGCCGAGCCGCCCCGCGAAAATCGAGTGAGAGAGCGGCCAGTAAGTGTGCAGCAGCACCATGCTGGAACACTATTGACACTATTCCTCCTCCCCACTGACACCAACGATGGGGCACTATTCCTCCCCCCACTGACACCAAAGATGGGGCACTATTCCTGCCACTGATACCAATGATGGGGCACTATTCCTCCCACTGACACCAAAGATGGGGCACTATTCCTCCCACTGACACCAAAGATGGGGCACTATTCCCCCCACTGACACCAAAGATGGGGCACTATTCCCCCCACTGACACCAATGATGGGGCACTTTTCCTGCCACTGATACCAATGATGGGGCGTGATTCCTACCACTGATACCAATGATGGGGCGCGATTCTTCCCACTGACACCAATGATGGGGCACTCTTCCTGCCACCGATACCAATGATGGGGCACGATTCCTACCACTGATACCAATGATGGGGCACGATTCTTCCCACTGACACCAATGATGGGGCGCTATTCCCTCCCACTGACACCAATGATGGGGCGCTATTCCTCCACTGACACCAATGATGGGGGCGCTATTCCCCCACTGACACCAATGATGGGACCGCTATTCCTCCCACTGACACCAATGATGGGACCGCTATTCCTCCCACTGACACCAATGATGGGGCGCTATTCCCCCACTGACACCAATGATGGGACGCACTATTCCTCCACTGATACCAATGATGGGGCACGCTATTCCCCCACTGACACCAATGATGGGGCGCTATTCCTCCCACTGACACCAATGATGGGACGCTATTCCTCCCACTGACACCAATGATGGGACGCTATTCCTCCCACTGACACCAATGATGGGACGCTATTCCTCCCACTGACACCAATGATGGGACGCTATTCCTCCCACTGACACCAATGATGGGACGCTATTCCTCCCACTGAAACCAATGATGGGACACTATTCCTCCCACTGACACCAATGATGGGGCACTATTCCTCCCACTGACACCAATGATGGGCCACTATTCCTCCCACTGACACCAATGATGGGACACTATTCCTCCCACACTGACACTAATGATGGGGCACCATCATTGGTGCCAGTGGGAGGAATCGTACCCCATCATTGGTGTCAGTGGGAGGAATAGCACCCCATCATTGAAATACCATACTGAAATACCATACCATATTGAAATAAAATCTGATGTTTTTTAATTTTTATTTGGTGTGCGTTGGAAGAGGGGTAGTCTTATAGGGCGAGTATAGCTCAAACCCTATATTTTAACAGGAAAAGTAGGGGGTCGTCTTATATGCCCAGTCGTCTTATACGCCGGAAAATACGGTATTTGTCATTTCGAATAATATGAAACACCCACAGTTCTCCAAAGATAACGAGAATCTTTTATTTAACTTTAGACCACATGATGTGATGAGAAAATGTGTTCATACTCAAAATAATGTGGTCTGGTAATACTGGCATGTATGCTTTTTTTTCCAGAATTGCCATTTGTAAAAGATGGGAAGCAAAATGTGCAATAACATCTTTAACGGGTAAAAAAAAAAAAAAAAAAAAAAAAAAAAACACGCTTAGCAATAGATCTTAGGTTAACCTTAAAAAGTCAAAAAGTCTTTCAGCCCAATGGGCAAACGTTTCCAGACAACGAACGTTTTAGAACACTGAGCCCAACTACTCTAAATTTGTATAAGCAAACACTGCAGACAGCAAGCACCAACGTGGACCATAGCTACAATTCTACACAAATACACGACCCACTCCTGTTTATAACTGCAACCACGCACAACAGAAAACATTCCACTTCAGGTATTAGAGGCCAATTTTCCAAAGGAGTACATTTTTAAGAAGCCAATATTGCTTCACTTCTAAAGAATCATATTCAGGGGAATTTATAAATAAAAGAAAAACAAAATCCGTAGAAGGTGGCTGGGAATACAGGCCAGGGTGAGGACTTCATTAGGGCGCACACACTACCATTTAAATACTCCCTAAGGCTAGGTTCACACCTATGCAGTTTGTGTTTGATCGGTTTCTGCAGTGCAATTTTGCACATGCGCTTTTGACACTTTTTCCCGTGTTTTTTTTTTTTTTTTCTTGTTGCTAGGCAGATTAAAATGCAAAACACAGCAAAATGCACTACATGCTTTTCTGCAGCGTCTCCATTGAAGTCTATAGAACCAAAAATGCAACTTTTTGTGTTTAAAAAAAGTCCCTGACCCTTTCCAAAAAACGCACCCGCTGAAAACGCATGTGAATATGTCCCATAGGAAATCATGTAAAATGGACTGTAGTGCCTTTCTGGAAAATGCTTAGGTGTGAACCTAGACAAAGTGGTTGTAAACCCTTACATATACCCAGTGAAGTGACAAGATCTCAACAGATGCAACAGGTGCGTTCTGCAGTGGGTGTCAATATTAAACACTTGCCAACCGCGCTACAGCCGAATGACGGCTACAGCGCGGTTGTCCAGTTCTGGGAGGGCATCATATGACGTCCTCCCAGAACGCCCTCTCCCGCGCGCACTCGGAGATCTCCGTGATCACTGTGTCCTAAGGACACAGCTGATCACATGATGTGGTAAAAGGCCAATCACTGCAGCCTTTTACCACGTGATCAGCCGTGTCCAATGACACAGCAGATCACCGGGTAAATGCAGTTGCTGGTTATCAGCTGCACTTTCCTTACGCTGTCGCAGCATGAGAAAGTACTGCCGATAACCAGCAATTGACAGAGGATGGATTGGCATCAGTGCCCTTTGATCAGTGCCCAGCAATGCCACCCACTAGTGCCGCCCACCAGTGCCTAGTAGTGTCACCCACTTGTGCCCAGCAGTGCCACCCACCAGTGCCCCCCATCAGTGCCCAGTAGTGCCCCCATCAGTGCCCATAAATGCTGCCCATCGTTGCATATCAGTGTATCATCTTCAGTGCTGCCCCATCAACGCACATCAGTGTTTGCAAAATTTTATTATAGAAACAAAAAAAATGTTTTGCTTTTTTTTATAGCGCAAAAAATAACACCCAGCAGTGATTAAATACCAGCAAAAGAAATCTCTATTTGTGTGAAAAAAAATTATAAAAATTTCATATGGGTACAGGGTTGCATGACCGCGCAATGTCAAAGTGCGACAGCGCTGATAGCTGAAAATTGGCCTGGGCAGGAAGGGGGTTATAAGTGCCCAGTAGGCAAGTGGTTAAGTCAATGACACCCCAAACGTAGGTTGCACACGCAGTGCATTTGCCAGCACCGGATCACATGGCACAGAAGTAGCATAAACTGAAAGGGATAGCTTCTTTCCAAGGGCTTTAAATACAAAATTAAATCTAGTTGGTGAGTATTAGCAGGCCTGTGTTATTGGGATTTGTCAAAGGGTGGAGTGAGTTTAAGTTTTTAAATCTGAACTTCAGTCTTTCAATCAACATTGACTATTTTTTAACCACTTGCCCTCCAGAGGATTTACCCCCCTTCCTGACAAGGCATTTGTTTGTGATACGGGCGCTGTGTTACTTTAACTGGCAATTTGTGCGGTCATGTAACACTGCACCCAAATTAAATTTATGTCCTTTGTTTTCCCCACAAATGGAGCTTTCTTTCAGTGGTATTTGATTGCCTGTGTGTTTTTTTTTTATTTTTTTGCGCTATAAACAGAGAAAGACCAACAATTTTGAGAGAAAACAAAACAATATTTTTGACTTTTTGCTATTAAACGTGTCCAGTAAAAAAAATTACAAAAATCAAATTTAGTTGTAAATTTAGGCCAAAATGTATTCTGCTACATGTCTTTGCTAAAAAAAAATCCCAATAAGTGTAAATTAATTAATTTTTTTAATACTAGTAATGGCGGCGATCAGCGACCTATAGCAGGACTGCAGTGGGCATTCTGACATTGTGGGGGAACAGACATCCCCAAAGACATGGCTACAGTGATCAATGCTAATAAAAAGCACTGACACTATACTAATAACACTGGGCAGGAAGGGGTTAACATCTGGGGCGATCAAAAGGTTAACAGTGTGTGTTTTACTGCGTGCTGTGCTTTACTATGCAAGCACACGATTTTGTATGGCTCTGCTATGTAAAAGCCATACAAAGCAGCGTCATACAGACCCGTCAGTCTGATTGTTTACATACGACCCATCGCCGGTGGGGGGAATCTCCGGCCGGGACCCGGTGATCTACAGCTAAAGCCGCCAAATGGCGGCACGCCCCCTACTGGAAATACAAAATCACGTATACATACGTGATTTTGCACAGCCCTGCCGCAGTAGTTCCACTATAGGGCAGTTAATCGTTCTGCTGCTAGCATTAGTAAATAGATAGGAAAGTATATTATATTCACTTTTGAACATTTTTTTTTTTTTGTTAAACACGTCAGTTACTTCCTTGTTTCCAGGTCTGGGCAAATGATGTCATACATTTCAGAAGTCTTCAGGAGGGGTCTTCTCAGTTAAGTACACCCTCTTGCCTGCATGCCTCAGCTAAGGGCAGACAGATTCCTGAAAGTAAATGCTACATGAATCATCTGCCCTTACTCAAGAAGGCCACAGCTAGAAATGTTAATGGGATGTTTTTTAGGTTGAATCCGTTTTATATAGTTTTCTATGTTTTTTTCAAAGCGATTTCGCAACAAAATAAAGCATGGAGACATGGATAGATGGGCGAGTTTGCTTTGAATAATAAAAATAAATTAAAAATAGTCTTTTTGGGTTGTTGTGCTCAGATGCAATGTAGTTCTACGTTAAAGTGGAACTACACTGTATCGGAGCAACACAAACCAAAAGCTCCATTTATTCAAAGCAAATTACCCCATAAATCCATGTTTCCATGCTTTATTTTGCTGAGAAATCACTTAGAAAAACACCCCCTAGTGTTTCTGTCCGTGGCCATCTTGAGTAATGACAGATGATTCATGTAGCAATTAATTCCTGCAATCAATCTGCTCTTAGATGAGGCATGCAGGCAGGAGAGTACTTGGCTAAGAAAAAAACCCTCCTCCCCTCCTGAAGACTCCAGTGATGTATGTACATAATTTGCCTAGGCCTGCAAACTAGGAAATAACTAAAGAAAAGTTTAAAACAAGTAAATATGGTGTATTTTATTATCTATTTACTAAGCAGCATAAGGACTCAAAATGGTCAATGTTGATTGAGAAAGTGAACTTACACTTTTACTAGTTGCAGACTTTGGGTGTGCTGCACACGCCAAAAAAAAAAAAAAAAAAACATTCTACACAGGGTGTGTGTAGCACATCCAGTGCTACACACACCCGGTCTACTGTCGCTGCCCTACTTCTAGAACGACCCCCCTCCCAGCATACCATCTCACTAGTGAAAAAGCAGCCTGACTCCGTATTAGTCCTCATGCACACTGGACATTTTCACAGCTACTATTTTTGGCTTTTGGCATTTTTTTCTACAACCAGTAAACTCCCCAGCATGTTACCCTATATATCCATGCACACATAGACTGCAATCAGCGTTTTTTGGCAGGGGTGTTTTCTGGCTGGAAAAAAACCCCAGAACTAGTAGGTTTCTAGAGGAGTTTTTTTAGCTTTAAAAATGTTCTAACGCTAAAAAATACAGCAAATGCGGTAAAATGTGGCAAACTGGCATTTGTAGACTTTTTTTTAGCACAAGAAAAAATGTTTTTGGTAAACAGAAACCGCTAATGCAAATGTGCTAAAAAAAAACTCACGCTTTTAACGTAACTTTACACATCTAATGTTACCAGCATTATTAAAAAGCCCAGTGTGCATGGAGCCTTACCACAGCACTGCTCATACAAAGATACAATGTAACAGTGTTACATTTCTAGATTTGTGTTCATTCATATGCAGATCAAAGAGATGAACTTGCACATGATGAAAATTAAAACACCCTGACAAAAATAAAAACTTTTTTTTTTTACTTTACTTTTTAATAAAATGTTATCATGTTCAATCCCCTTATTGACCCTTAGTTTTACTCTAATCAGTCCTAACCAATTCCTGTCTTCTCTCAAACTTATTTTCCTACTGATTTTTTGTCTATTTTAACAACTCAAATTTAAATTTTTTGTTTTAATATTTTTACACATTTAACATATAGTTGTACGTTTCCCATTTTAAAAAAGCACACTTTCTTCATCTGTAAATAACTTTGCAATGCTTTGTACCAGAATCATAAGTCTAGTGTCATTTTAAAGAGGACAAAGTATAGAATAAAAGGTGCACAGTTTATGTGCACTAACACTTTTTTATTTTTAACCTTACACTACTCAGAAAAAGCGTGTTTATTTTTTGTTATATTTTATTGTCTAAGGATTGTGAAAAAGAAGAAAAAAAATCATTGTCGCAAAACAATAGCATGACAAGAAAAGCCTTGTTTATCCTTAAAAAAAAATGTGTATTACCTTGTTATTTTAAGGAATTACAAATTTATTGCTGAATAAACGAGTCCATAGCAGAAACTTAAAAATTGCTCTGGTCCATAGGGGTGAACAGGTGTGAGAGACAAAGTGAGAAGTAGCAATGTAATTTTATTGTACATTTTAATTTTGCAATGAAAATAAATGCTTCTCTTTCTAAAACTAGAAGCATTGCATTCAGGCTCCGATTTTGACCAGTGCCGCCACTGCATAATGAATTCAGGGACAATATGTAAACATCAACAGTTTGTAGGCAGCGGCGGCAGCAGGGCAGGCGGAGAAAGACCTTGGCCTTTGTCCATCCTCAAAAACAGAAGGCTGAGGTGACTCTGAGGCACTGTGGCTGCTTATACACTATTGATGCTTACATCTTCCCTTATATAAGTCATCCATTCAGCTGCGGAGCAGAATGACCACTGCCTTCAGTCATTCTGAAGGAGGTCACATGAGTGACTCATTCAATGGGGGTTGTCAACAGTGGATAAGTGGCGGCACAAAATGCATGTATTCCCACTCATATGGACATGGGTTTATGTCTATACAGGATCAGATGCTGTACACATTTTTGTGCAGATCATGCGGTCAGCAAGGGCCTGTATAAATCTGATACAGCCATCTACACTAGGCTTACATCAGTAGGTTTAATTCCGATTGAAAGTCAGGTTCACACTGATGTGCCATATCAACACAATATCAGGTAATGCACTACAATGTGTGCTACCCTGAATTACAAAAAGTAATCGAACAGGAAATTCAGGTTGATTTCTTTGCACAATTCCCCAACATTCAAAGAAGGAAACTGTGATAAAC